TTTTTGCACCCTCAGATTCCAGATTTTCAAATAGTTGTATCTCAGCCAAATATTGTCCGATCCTAACAAACCATACATCAATGGAAAGATTATTTAATCACCTTACAGATGATGCATAAATCTCAATTTAAAAAAATTGACCCTTATGACTGGTTTTGTGCTCCATAATAAAAGTGACGGGTGTATCTCCGTCAGGTTTGCGTCAGGACTACGCCTCCACCTCTTCCTCCTCCTCTATGAGCCTCCGCAGCTCCAGCTTCTCCTTCCAGTTCGGCCAGCACAGCGATTCACACCTGGACGAGGAGGAGGAGGAGGAGGATGAAGACTACGGTCAGTTACCGCCGCCGCAGCCATGTCTGAGTCGAGCCAGACCACTGCAGCGCAGCCTGCCGCATTCACACACCTTCAGCAGCATCAGGGACTGGACGCAGACGCAGACGCAGACGCACTGCAGAGACACGCAGCCAGGCCTCAGCAGCAGCTCAGGTCAGATCATGTGTGATTAGACTGATTTACTGAGTTCAGGACAGACTGTGCTTCAGCGTGAAGGAAAAGATGAAACTACATCACCACTGCAGCTCAGTATGCACTAATGATGTTGTCATTTTCAGCTGCATTTTCTAATGATATATATATAGGGAAGTCATGGGCTAATGGTTAGAGAGTCGGACTCGTAACCCAAAGGCTGTGGGTTCGAGTCTCGTGCCGGCAGGGAGTGTAGGTGGGGGGAGTTAATGTACAGCGCTCTCTTCCACCTTCAATACCACGACTGAGGTGCCCTTGAGCAAGGCACCGAACCCCCAACTGCTCCCCGGGCGCCGCAGCATAAATGGCTGCCCACTGCTCCGGGTGTGTGTTCACGGTGTGTGTGTGTTCACTGCTGTGTGTGTGCACTTTGGATGGGTTAAATGCAGAGCACTAATTCCGAGTATGGGTCGCCATACTTGGCCAAATGTCACGTCACGTCACTACTGTACAAAAGTTTGGGGTCAGGAAGATTTTTTTAAAAGCTATTAATACTTTTATTTAGTAAGGATGCATTAAATTTGATCAAAAGTGTCAGTAAAGACATTTATAATGTTACAAAAGATTTCTATTTCAAATAAATGTTGAACTTTTGAACTTTCTATTCATCTGTGAATCCTGAGAAATAAAATGTATCACAGTTTCCACAAAAATATTGTGCAGCACGACTGTGTTCAACATTGATATTAATCAGAAATGTTTCTGGAGCAGCAGATCAGCATATTATACTGATTTCTGAAGATCATGTGACACTGAAGACTGGAGGAATGATGCTGAAAATACAGCTGCGCATCACAGAAATACATTACAGTTTAACAGCCCTTACAGAAAAACCACATGAACCTCACAGGTTAAAACCACACGTGAAATGCACACGAAACATGTGGTTTTGGAACATTTTCATGGTGTAAATTTGTTGTGATCACATGGGTTTCACACATTTACACCATGAAAATGTTCCAAAACCACATGTTTCGTGTGCATTTCACGTGTGATTTTAACCTGTGAGGTTCATGTGGTTTTTCTGTAAGGGAGATAATCACATAGAAAACAGATATTTTACATTGTAGTGACATTTCAAAAATGTTGCTGTATTTTTTATCAAATTGATGTGAACAGAAGAAACTTTTACCAAAAAAAATGTCACCAACCCCAAACTTTTGAAAGTTAGTGCAAGTCAATGGGAGATTTATAGTGTGATATTAATAATCATATTCTTTGTGAATGTGAATGCTGAGGTTGTGTTGATCTGGAGCTGATGGTTGTTGAAGGTGTTAGTGCTGGTTTTTACCTATAAACCCCAGACTGATCTGAGCGCTGATCTCTATTAAAACTGATTCTCTTGTGTTTCTGTCGCTGTTGTACTTCCTGTGTGTGTGTGTGTGTGAGTGTGTGTGTGTGTGTGTGAGTGTGTGTGTGTGTGAGTGAGTGTGTGAGTGAGTGTGTGAGTG